GAATCACTGTCACAATTCATTTTCACTGAGGTTAGACGTAGAATGAAATGCCATTAGGTTTGTTTAATCGATAACAAAAGCCATCGAAGTTGTAATTACATCATTTTCCGTCTTTTCTGCCCTAGGGCGGGAATGTGCTATTTTGCGCCCGCTAAACATGCACGAGAAACCGAATTTCGCGACCGGAGGGTCAAAAAATATAATATCTATTATGCTATTCAGTTAAAAGTGAAACAAAGATTAGATTAAATGGGTTCGGAGCAACGACGTAAATAAGCCGAGGATTGATCTAATTATGAATAGCCTTCACTTCAGTACTTATATCGGTTTTTCAAGGAAACCGTTATAACAATAGACCGATTGTTTGGATATATTATATCACTAAACTGTTTATACGTATGTGTTCTAAAAACAAACAGTTTATATTTACAATAATTATGCCTATATGCAATATAATATGGTGGTCTTACGACAGTTCCTCGATGGAACTGTTGACTCAGCAATGTTGTTATCGATATAGCTGTCATTGGGAGGCCCATTGATTACACTCGTGCAGTAGGAAGGTTAAAAACTGTAATGTACTGAGATGACGCGACAGAAACTTGTGAATTGATAATAAATAATCATGTACTCAGGCATATGACAGATCACATAATAGGTGTAATCATTTGATAAATCATGTAAAAAATTGTACAGCCATAATCTTTTAACCACGATAAATCATTTCCAGTTTCGTATAAAATGATGCAACAAATCGAAGATGGAAACAATTTGAATTTAATTATCGACAGATTGAATTAAGAGGAACAGCAATATCAAATAATTGATTGTACATTTACTTTATTAAAACAGAGCTTCATATGCATTTTTCAATTTGGTAGGATTTATCTTTAGTAAGATCTTTATATTTTATTAAATGATACTTCGTTTCACATCTTCAAGTAGGACAAAAATACAATCTTCTTAATAGGACAGAATGAATATTATGTTACATTAGATGAAAATTCTTATGGTATTTTGTAATGTGTATTGAAACTTGTGCAGACTGCATTGCTGCAATTCCGTCAAATATAACCGGTAGCCCAGCTCCCAATAGAGCTGACGCATTAATTACGATACGTGTCATAACGTGGCGCAATCATTTCTCTTCGTCTCATAGAAACCGGTCGGAATCACGACGCATCGTCAGAATTTACGAGCTCCAACCTGGGAAGAGAGCACGTTTCGTCCGAGGTTTCGGTTCAAACATTTTTCCTCTCTCTCCCTTCCGGATGCATCTCTTTCCTCCTCATTGCACTGCTCGGCCAACCATAACAGGCAACGATATCCCGCAGCTCGCAACAGGACTGTAACGAACAACCTTCGGAGCTTTTCCAGGACCACCGCGGATAAACCGGAAAATATTATCCCGGCCCGTTATATCGTTCGGCTCTTGTCATCTCGCGTTAACGTCATGAGAATCAACGTTCTTGTTGTTACTGTAATGAACACATACTATATCTAGCTCCATACAGTCCTGGTTTCCTGTACACCAGGCATGGGCAAATCATTTTTACTCACATTAGTCGCTCTCCCTACTATTCGTAAATGTAGATATGCGTCTGTACGTTACATAGCGTCAAGCATTCCCACCATAGCCACCGTGGCTCTTGAAAGCCACTTTTGCCCATGCCTGCTGTACACTAACATCACGTTAACGTCACAACAACGGCACATAGGGTCTCCGCAGTAGGTCGTATGCATGGCCGTAGGTATGGACTTGAAGGACGGAGTATAGACTGCTTTTATAGATGAAGGGGAGTGAAGCCATGGACCTGAAGGACGGCGCATTGCCTGCGGTATTTTGTGACGGAAAATAGAAGGGGCATCCGAAATATCAGCCATTTTTTAGGAGCGACCAGTGACGCTCTCTCATGTAGCATCCGCGCCCACGTTCGCGTATCTCTGTTAGAAATCAGGAACTGGGTAAAATCAGGGACTGGATAATTTTTCCCTCGGCCGGAAAGTGGGAACGACGCGACCATGGTGGGGACTGGTACTTACTTGATGGGAGTATGCTAGGCATGGTCAGCGAAGGCGCATGAGGGGAATAGTAGTGGGGATCGAAATACGGGCGAAAAAGAAGAGAAGCGAGCCGTGCGGGAAAAATTATCCAGTCTCTGGGTAAAATAATTCACGTGTAGTCTCCTAAAATCACTGCACACTTTATTATAACCCAAAAATCATGTGCGCTCGCTTTCACTGCGTCTTACGCTACAAACAACCGCTTTTCCTTTATCCCTTCTCCACGACTTTCGTTTTAACGTTCCCAAACTCACTCTTCAGATGTCGTTCTGATTTCAAAATCGTTATATTCTATATATGTACAACATCCTCCCCACCAACAGATGTTTTGGAGGAACCGTACTATTTTTAACAAAACACTCATCCATAAAAGATCGCAATAGTTACTGTCACGGCCGTCTCTAGTACAGGCCGAAAGATGTGATATGGCAACAGCGCACTATCAGGCCGATCAGTCCGACAGTACGATAGAAGTACTGCCGGGCACTTACTGCTTATATGACTTGTCATGTGCGCACACATAGTATTTATTGTCTCTTAATTTATGTAGGAAGTAACGTGATATATTATTCGCTGTTTTACATAAATATAACTTCTAATTTACTGTTTACTGTACTTGATTACCTACTAGATATAATTACTTGTGGATGAAGGAGTTTTATAAAAGGATTAATATTAAATAATATTAGACATATCTTTTAAATATGCACTTTATTTAAAATCTGAAAATAAAAGAGTTTAATGAATGATACAGGAATGGACAGGATTACTGGAAGGGATGATACATTTTCGGAAAACGAAACAGAACTATATCTTACATTTGACGTTGCATAATTGTTATTACAATTAGGGATACAACACTTGTCTGGCATCTGCAAAATGTACGAAAAACATGCTTTCAATAGGTCGTACTAATTCATCACAGTTTCATACTTATTACACAATGCAAACATTAAAAAATTGTCGTATATGAACTAGATACTGATGTCGTATATGACATAACATAAAATTAGGCATAAAAACGGGACAGAGTGGGTAGTTGACTCATAAGCTGAGTTTTAATTTCTCTATTAGATCGCCGAGGCAAGTTCGCAACTCTCGTTAGAGAAGCTTTCACGGATTTCAGCTAGAGCTTCCGCTTTAATTATTATTACTTCCACTTGGAAATGCTTTGGTTTAAGCATTCTTTTTAACGGTGTCCCTTCTTTCCGCGCGATAAACCGTACAACAAACTAGCAATCCGATCTGTTAATTTTCTATTACTGTGGTTACATGCTAGAATTTTCATTCTGCCGGAGTTCATTGTTATGCATGTTTTCTTCAATGTGCAAATTCAGATTCAATTATTTGAAATTTCGCTTATACAAATGAAAATAGATAAAGAATTATTAAAATTTAGATATGAAAATGTAATGTTATTGTAGCGACACCAATCTTCAATTTGATTTTCAACAATTGAAATAT